AAAAAAAAAAACGATGGCGGAGGTTGAAGGAATAAAATTTCGGTACGCTGTTGTGGAGAGAAGAAGAAATCTTCCATGGAGAACGATGACTTTGAAGGAAGAAACCGTGTGCCAAAGTAAGTACTTAGATAAGAGATAAGGAAGATTTTATGTGATGAGAGAATGTGGAGTGCGGTTTTGGTAAGGATATATGTTGTTCATAATTAATGATATAATAACACTTAATTTGCTCATAAATTCCTTAACTGAATATGCTGGTATATATGCAAATATATTGGGGTGATTTTGTATCCTTGCAAATAAATATTAATTGGGTGTAAATATGTAAATATAAAATATATGTATAATAGTATAGAGTGTAAATTCCTCAATAACTTTTACTTGTATGCTAGTTTAAAGTTTAAACTAAAACACAGGACATGTACTCTTAAAAGAAGATAGAAGATGCTTCTTATCCTCAGTAAGTTCCAAACCACTAACTGTTGCCATCAAGTTCATTTAGATGATAAAAATCAAAAAGCTTAGAAAACAATTGTCCAGATTCAAAAATTCACTAAATCCTCATTTCATACCTCAACCAAGCAAAGCAACAATAAAAACAACAAATATGGATGATAAAAAGTATTTCCATTTTACATAATTTTTATCTTACACACACACACACATTTGCCCACTGTTTGTCCAGGCATTAAACAATGTCTTAAAAGACACATGTGAAACATTATTAGTAAAACTAATAATATACAGACTGAGGCGCAAAGTCATTATTCACCACCTGTATCCTCGGTGGATTTCTTATACTCTGGCTTCAGCTCATATGTACCTTGATTTGCTCCCCTTTTATTGTACACACAAAGCTCATTCAATATCTCCTTCATAAATTGCTGCAAAGAATGTCGAACAAAGTTAGGCACATTAACCCAACAGTCAGCACCTATTATATACAAAAATGAGCTTTTAGAGCCAAAAGCATCCATGAGATAACATTAAACCATGGTCAATAATATATATTTTCTACAAAGAATTGATAAGCAAAAGCATACAGCAGGTTGATCTGTCTCTTGTACCAACTGCTTCAATGTCCAATTAGGTTGCCGTTCGAAAAGCTTAAACATGATATCTTCCAGCTCCCCACGGTCCCTTCTTGTTCTTTTCATATCTGAACCCTTCACTGGAGCTGCTTTTTTCTTTTCCTGCCAAGTTGAAAATAATTTAAAAACTTACAAGTCTTCGTAAATTTTATATCCATAATCAGCAGGTTAACACCTCCAATTTAAGCAAATTTCTCAGAACGATATTAAGTATCTGAATCTTTGAATTTGAACCTAATTCCAGCAAATTAGATTAATTCACAGACATATTTCAAAGAATTCAATATAAAAACACAAGTATAAAAGTAAGTAATCACCTTAGAAGCCGATGTAACCAGTCCCATCATCCCAGGCATAGGTCTCATGTGCACACCACGATCATTATCAAGCACCTGATAAACATCAAGCAGAGATGAAATATTAATATTTGGCACGAATGTGGTCAAAGGGAGAAAAAAAGGAAAAGACATTGTCTTGTCAGAGTGAGTGTATGACCTGAATTTGTCTATTCTTGACCATGGATTTATTTGTCCTTTCTCGACACAGTTTTCTGTACTCTTCAAGATTTGCGTGGTGAGGCTTCATGTCAAATTTGCGTTCCACCTTCCCTTCCATTGCTACTTTTCCTTTAAGAGAAAACAAATTAATACACGCAATTAGCAACTTTAAGAAAAAGCAAATTAATACAAACAATTAGCAAATGTAATACATAACTGTGCACATCCGAGCCAATCTGGCTGCATATCCTATTTCAGGTAAAACTCTGAGTTACATCATAAATTCACTTCAGTCCACATGTTAGCATCAGCAAACTGATTAAAGGAATGAACAAAATCCACACTTTGCGGTCATCAGTCATAACATTTCGAAAATTGAGACAACACAGCAACGCTTATTCAAGATCTCAGATTGTCAGAGAACTGTTACCACAGCAAGAGGTCATCAGCACATCTAACTACTAAATTTTCAAAATCAGCATTAACCAACAAAATAAACCATTAGGAGGTTGAGGAAAATTATATATTAGTGGATAACTTGAGTAAGCCGCAAAATTAGGTCACTAAATACTTGGCAATCGGCATTCACCTTCATTTGTCTCAGAGAAAATGCCCATGGGAACAAAATCCTTGAACATGTTGAGCGAGTAGCCCTTGGGTATATTCAGAGCCTCACTCCCATCCATCTCCATAGTAAACTGAAGCACAGAAATTAGTACAAAATTCAGAAATCACAGCCCTACTTAATTAATAAACTAGAACCTAATAAACACCGAATTTCATACAATCTCACAACAAAACCACACAGATAACACACGTCTACCAAGTACGGAAGCAAGGGAGAAGGAAATGCTTACTTTGAGGGCGGAGGGATCTTCGGGCCGGAGGAGATCAAGGGAGACGACGACTTTGGCGACCGGCGGCGATTCGGCGGCGGCGGCGGCCTGCCACGCCTTGGAGACGACGGGCGGGCACTTCATGAGCCAGACAGATCGGTCGGCTTTGGTGGTGTCGACCGTTGCTTTATCGTTGCTGAGGTCATCCTCCATGGACGAGGGCTTGACGGGTGAGAAGATGCTCGACTGATATGGACTCAAGTCGCCGGGTTCCCTATGATTAGAGTCGAAATAAATTGTCGTAAAAATAATTAGTTAAAAAACGAAATTTCTCACAATAAATAAATACACTATTTAAGGTTACGATTAATATAATTATTTTTAGAAAACAATTATCATTCAAAAAAATAAAAATTATAAACAGTTTTCATAAACAAAACTATAATGACTAGAGTTGATGATATATGCAAAATAATAAAATATAAATATAATTATTCATACTTATAAATATATTAATGAATTAATAATTTCAAAAAAAATTATTTAACAAGAATTTATTATTAATTAGTAGTGGTAACGCAAAACACTCTGACCGGCTTGAAATCGGTTCGTCTTCCTCTTCCTCGCCGGTAGAACGCCGCGCACCTGCACAGAACTCTTACACTGGAGGGTTTTCCGGTGAAGAGCCTCCGATGCTTAAGTCAGTATGTGTTTGTTCAATTTTTCAAAGTAAAGAATGGATAAATCGTAAGTCACAAGAAAAGACTCACTTCCATATATATAAGAGTGAGATACTTGCCCTAGGAGCTGCCCGGCTTTTTGTGAGCTGTCCTGCCCGTACTGTCCGTCCGTACACACATAGTGTGCGTATGTCAGAGATGTCAGAGGTGGTTATCGCCACTATTGCTCTGCACCAATATATTCTCGCCACGTGTCCCTCTGAGCTGAGGGAGATTATTCTTCTGCGCAGGCCGTTAGGATCTTCTAATGCCACCCACGCACTTTCTCGCGTTCAAGCCAGGCTCTCGACTGCTCTCCCCTTGTTGGGTGTTCGATCTCGATCTGCTATTTCCATTAACTCTTCACCTTATTCCTCTGCGCTCCTATAAATACGGCACTTAGCAAATTTTCGGGCTTTCCTCACATTTGCAAATCCTGAACTCCCTTGTGCCCTACTTTCTTCCTCTACAAATTGTTCTTCCCGGCTCTCGGCGTCTCCTCCCTTAGCAATTTCCGGCAACCGCTCTCCACTGCAACTATGAGTAAGTCTCCTATGCTTTAATTTTGTGTTCGCGTGCGTTTATTTTGTCGATTTTTGGTTTTTTCCTTGTTGCTTCTTCTTTTCCTCGAGACCTTCTCGTTTCATTTGCGGAAAGATCCCCTTTCTTCACCTTTCGAAACCCTAACTTTTCTTCTTCCCTCTCGATTTTCCTTTCTACTTTTCAGATTCCGTCGATTCTAATACGCAAGGCCATCACTCTGGTGAAGATGAGATCGCCCCGTCATCATTCCTCACTCATCGGCCTATTCCTTACTCGTCTTCCCGTTCTGTCGAAGAGATCTACAACCCCACTCCTCTCAGTGTTTTATGCCCTTCCGATTATGTCACACCTTCTCCTCCTGGCAAACCTACTCGTCTGATTGATGAATCAGACGAGGATGCCCTTGACCACATCCCCCTCAATTGTCGTTGGTCGGCGTTTGGGGCTTCTGACGCCGCGGAAGAGGCTCTTGATGCTGCTGAGGAGGATGAAGATAATACTCCCCTTTCTCACCATTCCGTTTTTGCTAGAGTTGTCCTCCCCCTAATCTTAAGAAAGGTGCTCCAAAATCTTCGACCGCTGCTACACCTCGTGTATCTCTGGCTGTCCTTGTCACTACCTCACCTAAGGCTGCCCCGAAGAAAATTAAGTCAACCAGAGTATCTTCTTCCTCCTCTCGCTCTCTTATAGCTGGCTGGCTCGATGCCGAAGAAGTTAGCTATCCTGCCAGCTGGGCTTTCATATCTCCAGGCCCCCGAGATACCTATGACAACCCTCCCCGAAACTGCTACACTTTCTTTCAAATTCAATTTAAACTCGGCATCCGTTTTCCCCTAAGCCAAGATTTGATCGATCTTTGTAAGTGGTTCGACCTGCCCTTGAACCAACTTCCACCTAATGCCATCCATTTTATCACTTTCTTCATCATCCTCTGTCACGTTCGCCTAGGTCGGCTCGACCTAGATTTCTTCCATTACTGCTATACACCCTCAAAACATGTTCAGGGGCTCTACCTCAAAGGCCAACGATGTCCGTTTCATCTCAGACACTCCTTCAAACGTCCCTAAGTAGAAAGACAAATTCGCCTTTGTCGAGCCCAAACCTGCTTTCCCTTGGTCGTCATCTCCTTGGCTCAAAGAACTTCCGCGTGAGTATTCAACACCTTCAACCAACGCGCTCTTCGACCAACGGATTGCAGTATGGAACAGCAAACCCGTTGCGTCGAAGACCTTGCTCGAGGATGAGGACCTCCTGCACTTCTGTGGACTTCTTTCCCACAAAGCTTGTCCTCTCCCTAGCCAGAAAACTTTCGATCTCATCCAGATCGAGGGTGACCCAGGTATGTGTTGTCACTAAACAGGCTAGAGTATCATCATGCTTGTTTCACACATTGTGTACCTATTGCGGTTTTAACTTGTTCATAAATTTTCTTGCAGAGATGCCCGCTATCTCTGTGCCTAGGAGGAAAGCTCCTTTGAGAAAGAAACAAGCTGTCGATGGGTCAAGCTCAAGGCCTGCTGACTCGACCACCTCTCAGTCTGTACGCTCGACCTCACCTCCTCCTGACGTATCCGTCGAGCAACCATCTTCGATCAACCCTCCGGCTGACCAGCCAGTCGAGCAACCAGAGCAGCCCGAGAAATCAGCATCTCCTGCGCCGCGCTCTTCATCGCACGACCAGCCCACCCCGGTTATCCACATTCCTGCTTCTCCCGAGCGAACTCGGCTCGAGGAGAATCCACTTAAGCGTCCCTCTGCTGGGGGGGGGGGGGNGACGAAAATGACGGCAAGCGTCGTTGTGTTGAGAAGACTGCGCTTTCAATCACCACGCTCGACGGCGTGGGATTCTCGCATTTCCTCCGGGATGTTCTTCCTCCCGTCGACCATCCTACCGACCGCTATAACGACGGTCACACCCTTCGAGATCGAGGCCATCGACTTGCCCGCTGACTGGCTCAGGTAACCTACTGTAACTTAACACTTATCTATTTTATTCCATTTCCCCCCTCGTTAGTGCCCTAACACTTTCTTTTATGTGCCCTTGTAGGGAATGGTCGAGCTCGCGCCACTAATCGAGCAAACGTTAGCGAGCCCGAGTCGGTCCATCTCAGCCATCGAGCGAAGCAATCTCCAGCTCGGCACTCGGCTGGATGAGATAATCGTCAAGGCCAATGCTCTTCATGAAAGGCTGAAAGAGTCGGCCGCCGGGAATAAGGCCCTCTCTGCTGAGAAGGAAACGCTCGAGGGGGCCCTGAAATCCTTCGAGGAGGACTTCGCAGCCGAGCGAGCAGAGAAAGAGGCCCTCCTGGCTTCCAAAAGAGCTCTCGAGGCTGCATTCGAGGAGAAGAAGTCAGCCCGGGCACGTGAAAACGTTACTTTCGAGCAGAGGGCTAATCCCTTGATCGACGAGGCTACCCTTCGGGCTCGGAGAATGGTCTTCCACACGACCCCCTGTCAACGCTTCCTACAGGATTACAGCGAGCAAGTGGTGGCTGCTTTCAAGCAGTCACCACAGTATCTAAAGGACGTGCAAGATTACGGCACCCACTGCTTTGGGGCTATAATGCAATAAGCGGGGATCCAATCAGCCGAGGACGGGTTCGAGGAGTTCAACATAGAAACCATATGGGATGCTATACCCAAGGCTCCGATCGGCTATCAGAGTGCCCTCGACCTGCCCGACGACCACGACTGGTGGTCAGGCCTGCTCGAGCTTGTCGTGGACCAAGACGACCTGCTAAAGTGCACCTTCAAGCTCCCCGACGGGTACATTCCTCCACTTGTTCGCCAAACCTAATCCACTGATGGGGCTGGCTCGACCTCTGGCTCCAATCAGCTGACTGAGCCAGTACCACCGCAGCTTGAGTCGCCCTTAGAACAAGCCCTTGATAATTTCGATGCCCCTGTTGGCCAGGATAATGCCGCATTGTGAAGTTCTAATTTTAAATTTTATTGAACTTTGTACTCCTTTCTCTCTAAATGAATATTGATTTTGTTGAAATTTGTGCATTCTCTTTGTTTCTCGATTATTTGCTTGTCGATGTATCACTTTATATGATGTGTTCGTTATTCAGCCCGCGTTATCGCTATGTGTCGATATCATTTTCACTGATTTTTTAAGCCACGCCCTTCATCCACTTAACTAATCCTGATGAATTAATGAATCTCAATGGTTCTAGGTGCCTCCTAGCACATGTCCACCCTCAAATGAGTGGTCGTTACATGCGACCATCCAGCCTCTCGGCCTTAATCATGATGGATTTTTTGTCTTCGAGCACATGTTCACCCTCAAAGGAGTGGTCGTTACATGCGACCATCCAGCCTCTCGGCCTTAATCATGATGGATTTTTTGTCTTCGAGCACGTGTCCACCCTCAAAGGAGTGGTCGTTACATGCGACCATCCAGCCTCTCGGCCTTAATCATGATGGATTTTTTGTCTTCGAGTACATGTCCACCCTCAAAGGGGTGGTCGTTACATGCGACCATCCAGCCTCTCGGCCTTAATCATGATGGATTTTTTGTCTTCGAGCACATGTCCACCCTCAAAGGGGTGGTCGTTACATGCGACCATCCAGCCTCGCGGCCTTAATCATGATGGACTTTTTTTTCTTCAATCAGCCATTCAACATAGGCCACCACATATGCACAATAGAATTAAAACAATCGATTAGGCAAGGTGCTGAAAATTGAAACGGAAATTTCATTAATAAAGATTGAGAATTCAATTACATCATTGTTGTGAAAAGTTTCCAATAAGAGAAACAGGAAACAGAAAGAAAAAATTTTAAACGTAATATTTCTTCAAGTTAGCCACATTCCATGACCTGGGGAGTGATCTTCCTTCAGCGTCCTTAAGTGAATATGCTCCTCCCGCATGAACCTTCTCGACCAAGTATGGTCCTTCCCAGTTGGACTCGAGCTTTTCCACATGCTTCAGCACGTCCACCCTTTTCCAAACCAGGTCACCCACCTGGAATCTCCTGACTTTCACCTTCCTGTCATGTGCTACTTGCATCCTTTGCTGGTACGTCTCAACTCTGATCAAGGCTTGTTCGCGAAG